AAATAATGGGCCGATTCATCGATTTTTAAAATATGTGTGAGAGGGAGAACTTTGTGAAAACACAGAAAACATTGGTTATTGTTGTCCAGCTAAAACATTTCAACAGAGGCAAAATCAGGAAGGCCTAATACAATAAATACAATCAATTGATTGACTCATAGAGGTGAGTATCGATAATTTAGTTATCCCAGCTAAGCACTGATCATTTCTAACAATGAGTAACAGCCAGCGTTTATAAGAGACATTAAAGTTTCATACGCTTCAGTTGACATTTAAAGAAAAGAGGCTACTTTAATAATAAAGGTCTCTATTGGGCAAAAGCAATTAAGGCTCACATATGATTTCACATATGATTCTGACAGCTGAGATAATTCCCATTTTATCCTCTGGTGAAGAGGATACCAAACAGTCAGATGAAACACTTTTTTAATTCAGATATTTAAAATATTCTACTGTTTCTTAACAGTGTGCTGGCAATAGCTGCTAATTTGTCCTTTCATAGATTTGGGTCACAATGTTTGATTTTTAACAACTGTGAAAACTGTAAAAAAAAAAAAACAGGAAATAAAACCAGATAAAAAGCATATAACGCATACCAATAAATATTTAAAAAAAAAATTATGCATTCACATACTCAGAAGAAGTACACTGAAATACAATGGTTGCAAAGGATGAGAAATGGAAACATGCTGACATAAAATAGAGGTATGAAATAGAAAAGGGGAGATTGTTCTAGAGCTTTCTCAGGGACTCTATTTACATGTCTAAATTTTATTAAGAAAGAAAATAAAGATGTCCAAAGTTTGCAAAAAATAAATAATTATTAACATGTTAGTGTAAATGCATTGAGTTTTGTAAAAGATAAATGTCTGAGAGTGTCATTTCTGAAAAAAAGATATTTGTTTATTTAAAATTTAATATTTAGGGTAAGAAAATGTTTTGGCGTTACAGCAAGTAAAACAACAATGAAATCGTAACTGCTGACCAACTTTTGTATGTTTCCACTGGTAACATGATGATTAGTTTTGTAGAGCATATGAGGAAAAGAATATTAACCACAGTCACTGGCTTTGTTAGGCTGCATTTTTTCTTTTTTCCTTATCATAAACACAGTGGTTAAAAATGTCTCTTTTGCTAGTTGCGCTTGATCCTTGGATAGATGCACATTTCGACCGATCAGTGCAAGGGTTTGGAAAACTTTTGCATGATCTTTCCACCACAGCATTTCAATATTCAGTCTTCAACTCAGTGTAGACTGCCTCGTTGGAACTTAAAAAAAACAACAACTCTTAACCGGGCATAACTTAAACAACTGCTCATTAAGACAGATAGTTAATTATTTTATAAATAATAACTTTTATTTATCTCCTAAATATTTTTTTTGTTTACCTGTCAATTTTTGAGTATAAGTAATACAGTTTTACTACCCGTAGCTGAACGCTACACCCCCAACCCAGTGCGGGACCCAAAAATCTGCAAAGACCCTTTAATTGCTAAAAGAGTATACAAACTCTAAATCATATACATGACTGTGGGCGGTGATTTGGCAAAATTTCCAGTCTGACAGCTAAATATTCGGAGTGACATTGGCACATGTGTGGTGTGATATCCCTATCCTGAGGCTACCGAACAATCTGTACAACTAAAACTGTTCTATCCGAGTTTTTTTATTTTCAGGTTTGGTGTCCATGAAGTTTTGAAAATCACTTCGCAATTTTACAGTCTTGCAGTTTGATCCAGCATTTATAAGATTTACACAAAAAAAAGGTGAATCCATTTGTCTAACATACCATTTTAAGAAGAGTCTAGATTGCACTTGCTTTCAATTTATTTCCATTTGAAGGGTTGAGGGTACAGTCTTTG